GCCTTAGCCACTTGAGCCACAGGCGCCGAGCCTTAAATTTTCTTAATTTTGTATCTAAAATTAAAAATTCTAAGCCAGGCGTGGCTTGAGCCCAAGAGTTTGAGGTTTCTGTGAGCTATGATGATGGCACTGCATTCTGGCCTAGGCAACAGAACTAGACCCTGTTTAAAAAAAATAAAATTAAATAAAAATTCTATATCTAATTCTAAATCTAATTCTCTATTTGTGTATTTCAGCTAAAAATAAATGATATTTACATTTATTAGATGCCATTCTAGTAAGGCATCTATATCTGACCACCTTCACCAGTTCCCCTTATTTAAGTATAAAATTATTGTTCATGCAGTAAGCATCTAAAATACTGTAGCACAAAGAAAGCTTACTGAGCTATGGGTAGTGCAAATGAAGGTGAGACTATATTAGTTATAACTCATCTCTTTTATCACTTCATTCTCTAAAATCTTTTTCACTAATTTTCTATCAGAAATTATAGAAAATCATTTTTAGATTACATGGACCATATGAAGCACTAAATGGAATGGGATGAAGTGGAATAATCGGTATTCTTTCCAGAGTTATTCTAGACAGTGTGAACCATGTGAATTTATGACAAGAAGTATTACTTTATTGAGGCATTGTAAGAAAAGGAGTTATTTGAGATTTTGCACATAAATCCCATTTTCTTGTTTCTTCTCCAGTGTGCTTTGAAATGTACGTTTATCCCTTGACTCACAGAATACTGAGTGGCGTGCTATGGCTTTGCTATTGTTGTTTCTGCTCTTTAAACAAAAAGTTAGCCCCACTAAGCAAGAATAGTTGTAGAGATTAAAATGTTATGTAAATATTCTTTAAAACTAAATGTGTATGTGTAGCATATATAAAAAATGTAATATTTTTATTTGATAACATGACTTAAAACAGAGGGCAGTGGAAAGAGGTGAGCTAAGCCAGTTTCCTAACACTTTTCTTGGTTTAAGGTACCTGTTTATCTTCAATGTAAAATGTTTCATAAAGGGCGGCACCTGTGGCTCAGTGAGTAAGTTGCCGGCCCCATATACTGAGCGTGACAGGATCAAACCCAGCCCCAGCCAAACTGCAACAAAAAAATAGCCAGGTGTTGTTGAAGGCGCCTGTAGTCCCAGCTACTTGAGAGGCTGAGGCAAGAGAATCACCTAAGCCCAAGAGTTGGAGGTTGCTGTGAGCTGTGATGCCATGGCACTCTTACCAAGGGTGACAAAGTGAGACTCTTGTCTCTTAAAAAAAAAAAAGTTTTATAAAGAAAAAATAACTATTTTAACTTTTGCATTCACATTGCTTTTCATGCTGGACAACTACTTCTTCAATCATTAAATCTTTTATTTGACAGAATTATAAATTGAGGTAGACAGGGGTTCTCTTTTCTGGTGGGATCCTTTTTTCTTTTAGGTGCCCAAGAATTCCTATTCTTCTGTGGTTTAAATAATAGGTAGGTCCTTATAATAAATCATGCTGATAAAAAGGAACTAGCAGTAATTACTTTTAAGTAAGTTTTTTTTTTCTCTCAATAGGAATCTAAGAAAAAGTTTTATACATGGTAAGCATTTTCTCAAGAAATTGATTTGGACCTGGTATACAACAAAATGTAAATATTTACTATTAGATATAGGATGTTTTGAGGGTATACTATAAGAGCTGACCACACTGTGATGTTTATCTATCTTAGCAAAATATGATAATATTTGTATGAAAATTTGCTCTGTTTTCTTTATTCATTCATTAAATTTGCAGTATAAACAATGATGATAAAATGAAGATCTTTTTTCAGGTTTCTTCTCCCCACCTCATCCATGAGACTTTTCTTTTCTCTGAGATACCTTAATTGTGCTTTAATATGATGAAAGACTAGAATTGAGGGAAAACTTTATTTTCTGATATTTTAGAAGAAGGGGAAAGTTAGAAATTGTTGTTCATGAGTCTTGATTCAGAGTGTTTTTGTGGAAGTTTGGCCTTCAAACTCTTTGTTCCCCTTTATTTTAGTTCAGACGTTATACTCAATTCTGACCTCCTTGTTTTTAGGTGGTTAGCCAGCGTTTCCCTCAGAACAGCATCGGCGCAGTAGGAAGTGCTATGTTCCTCAGATTTATCAATCCTGCCATTGTCTCACCATATGAAGCAGGAATTTTAGATAAAAAGCCACCACCTCGAATCGAAAGGGGCTTGAAGTTAATGTCAAAGGTGAATTGTTTAGTTAATCTAGCTATCTTACATTACCTTCACAAGTACATTTTCAGTTTTTCATAGAATTCTTGATTTTACTTTTGAAATACCCCATATTTTTCAATTGTGTGCTTTTGTTTTATTTCACTGATATTGATAAAGGAATTCATTAGTATCCAATGGGCCTTATTATCATGAGAAAATATTTTAGCAAATGTCTTGTATTCTGAAGATAGTTTTCTTAATAATCATTCTGGAAATTTTGAAACAGAGATAAAAATGTAGACTATAGTTTTTTTTTTTATTTAAAAAGACTTAAAATTGTTAGTATGCATTTTATATATGCACATATACATAATAATTTGGGGGAGGAATAGAAACAATACCTAGAGTAATATAGAATGAGGAATGATTGATTTTAACTACTAGTAGAAATTATATCAATGAGAAAATTCATACTCTGATATATAGACTTCATATGTAAAATAATCTGGTTATTTAAAACCCTATTTTGTTGTTTAGATACTTCAGAGTATTGCCAATCATGTTCTCTTTACAAAAGAAGAACATATGCGGCCTTTTAATGATTTTGTGAAAAGCAACTTCGATGCAGCACGAAGGTAAGTGGCCTGAGACTTAGTTACTCTGTTTGAATCAGATATTTTCAGTTTCACCTAACTACAAGTACCTGGTCTACATGAAGTTTCTGTGTAGATTTTTTTCTCTTTGCTTTCCAGGTCAAGACATCATTTGTCTTGTTTAATTTTACTATAAAACACAGTCATGAAATAAATCTATATTCTTTAAACTTTGGTTGTCAAAACTTTTTTTTTTTTTTTTTTTTTTT